ACCTACAATAGCACCTAAGATATTTATATATAATCATATCAATTTCTAATATTCAATGCAAAAACATTACCCATTTTTTTAAAAAAAGCAGATATTTTGAACACTTTCCAATCACTTAAATTTGTTCATCAAAGAATTAAAGTTACTTATGTTAAAAAACTAGATTTCACAACAGATGAGTTTATGCCAAAATCAATTTTACAGAGTTCACCATAAGAAGCAGTGAAGCAAATTTCTCATAATCTGCGTAAAGAGAAATAGCTAAATTAATTGATGTCATTATTGGGGCCATCCAGGAGTTATAAATAAGGGCGAATATAGAAAACACACTGATTGCATAAAATGAATAATTAGCATGAGGTCAAAACAGTCCTAACTATCCTTTTCAACATACTTACAAAATATTTTATACATTTTCATTTGTTTTCCTATGAGAATGGAATACACTGTCAATCTAAAATCATACAATTTATCACAGTTCTAGGAGTAATAATCTTATTGCTACATACACAACCCTTCTAAATTTTGCCTACTTCTTAAACTGCTTTTTGGCCTTTATTTTATTCCAGAATGGGTTGACTGTTAGTCTTCTCTTTATCTAGATATTCTGGGAAGTATCTATGTCATCTGATAGTCTATAAGCTATTTGGGATAACAGGTGATATCTAGAGGGAAAAATTAGGCATAGAATATCCAAAGGGAGAGTTATTTTAATACATGTCAGAAGTAATAAGGATAAGAGGGGAGAATAGATTATACAAGAGGAGAGAATTGAAAGCAATAGTAAATTGGCTGAAGACATGATTTGGTTACATGATCTTTAAGAATAAGGATATATAGATAAGTTACATTTATGTCGCTTGCATCTCCAATATGCAAATGCTCCTTCTTCTAAGACCCATGATCAACTTTCCATCAATGCTTCAGTCTACCAGAAAATCTAGCATGACCGCAATTTTTGTTTGTGTACATGGAAGGGAGGGGGCTCGGTTTCACATTTGATCTGCTATATAAATGTTATTGCTTCCTATCTCATTCAAGAGATAGGAAGCAATAACATTTATATAGAGCCAAGAGCAGGAATCCATAATCACAGGTATACATCAGAACATATATGATACATAACTTCCCCTCAAACGATAAGTATGCTTAAGGAGAGCACAAGACCTTTCCTCAAATGTATTGAGTTATGAGGAAGAGTGGTTCAAACTTACTATGCCATCAGAAGGTAGTGTATCTCCAAGGATTTTGGAGAATAAAATACATAAATTTTGAGAAATAACAGATCAGAAATATAAAAGAATACTTTCCAAAAGTAAGCTTCAGTTCCCTTAAAAATGCAGCTTGTAAGGAGCCCCCTCTGTAAAAAGACACAATACTTTTGGTTCCAGCCATAATGAGTAGATTTTATTGAACTAACCCTTCAGTTAAAAGTAATTATAAAGCTGGACAAAATATGTGAAATAATTCCTTGAAGGCATTGAGAGCAATCAACTGAGGTAAGACTTGAATGGCTGTGATGCCTGAGGAAACAACACTAGTGTGTTTCATAATTAGCTAGGCATTTTTCTGAGGGCATTTGCTATTTCATTGGTTGGGGAGAGTAGAGGAAACCGGGAAGGGACAGTCTTCCTGGCTAAGGAGCAAGAGGATGAAGTTCGGGTGAAATAAACCATATGGGATTTGAGGAGTACAATCCCAGAGAAGAGGTAACTGCATTTGTGTTCCCCTTGAGGCATTAGCCAATTCTGACCTGAGCACTCAGGGGGTGATACTCCTTGAGGCATAGATGAAATAGCAGTTGGGAGGCTGAATGAATTGCAGAACAGCCAAGTGGTGCTAAGTAGACTGGAGTCTAAGCCCTGCCAAACAGGAGGGGCTTTGGTAAGCATACTAGAGTTTTAGGAGAAACCCCAGAAAAACTTCTAGGAATACAGGCCACACTTCAGGACTAAGGAAAACAAAAGAAACCAAGCTAACAACGCCTAAGATGAACAATGGACAAGATAAAAGTGATCTGCCTGCCCAGAGAAAATCGTATTCTATTTAGAGGAAAATTACATGAACCATTTTCCATAAGCAACATCTCTATTTAAACAAAATTATGATACTTGCTTTAAAAAAAGGATCAAATGGCAGGGAGAGCAAGGGGAAAGGGGAGGAGGAGGATGGGGAAGGAGAAAAAGAATGGTGGGGAGTGAGAGAGAACAGAATAAAAGAGTTACACAGGTGATTCATATATTGGAGTTACACTCACAAGCATTTAAAACTACTATGATGAATATTCTGGCAAATAGAAAACAGGACAAAATACTTATCAATGATAAAGCTCCCTTAACACATGTGAAGAATGAAATCAGGGTGCTGGGGATGTGGCTCAAGCAGTAGCGCGCTCGCCTGGCATGGTGTGGCCTGGGTTCGATCCTCAGCACCACATACAAACAAAGATGTTGTGCCCGCCGAAAACTAAAAAATAAATACTAAAAATTCTCTCTTTCTCTCTTAAAAAAAAGAATGAAATTAGATCCTTATGTCACATCATATAAAAAAATCAACGCAAAATGGATAAAAGACATGAAAGTGTAAAACTCTAAAAGAAAAATAAGAGAATAACTCCATGACTTTGATCTGGGAAATGATTTTTTTTTAGGTGACTCCAAAAGTATAAGAAACAAAATCAAGAAAAGAAAAATTAGATTCCATCAAATTAATAAGTTCTTCAGAGCAAAACTATCATCAAAGTGAAGAGACAACATATAGAATATTTGTAAACCATACATCTGGTAAGGGTTAATATTAAAAGGACATAAGAGACTCAAAAAACTCAACAGGAAGAAAACATATAGCCTGATTTAAAAATGGGCAAAGGACCTGAGCATATATATCCCGAGACATACTAAAGTAATTCAACATTTCTAATCATCAGGGAAATGCAAAATAAAACCACAATGAGATATCATCTCTCACCTATTTAGAATGGTCATTTTCAAAAAGAGAAAAGATAAGTATTAGCAAGGGTGTGAAACGAGGGAACCTACGCACATTGTTGGTGGGAATGTACTTTAGTAGAGCCACCATGGAAAAGAGACGGTGGTTCCTCAAAAAATTAAACACAGATCTATTATATGATACATCAATTCCACTACTGGTTATTGTATCCAAAGGAAATGAAATCATTATCTATAAGAGATATATGCACTTTCATGATCATAGTAGCATTATTCACAATAACCCAGATATGGAATCAACCTAAATGTTCATCAATGGATGAATTGAAAAAGAAAACAATCATGTATTCACACTGGAATATCATTTGCCCTTTAAAAAGAAGGAAATTCTATTATTTGTGACAACATAGATGAACTGGGAGGACAACTTAGTTAATAATGATGTATTGTACACTTGGAAATTGCTAAGACAGTATATTTTAAATGTTCTCACCATAAAACATTAAATATGTCAGGAAATGCCTATGTAAATTAGCTTGATTTATCCTTTCCATAGTGTATACATATTTTAAAACATCATGTTGTATACCATAAACAATAATAATAAAAGATAAGGATTATTAAAATATAACAGTCAAATGGAAAGAAAATAGAGGTTGGGACCCAATATTTTCCATTTTTCAATGCAGGAAATATTGGCTTTTTTCATTTCTTCCTCCTTAACTGATTGCTTCCACCCCCTAACTTACCTTCGATCTTCAAAAATTGTTGTCATTTTATGCTTTCATGAAGAGCACAAAAAACACATGTAGTTTTGAAATTCCCTCTATTGAATGAAATACATGAAAGTAGCTTCAAGAAGAGACACCATATTTAACAGAAAGAGTATAGGTTATGAATCTGATACCCATGCTCAAACTCTCCCACCCACCCAGTTTGTGTGATTATAGGCCAGTCTGAATCTCAGTTTTTTCCCTACCATAGAAAAAGATTGAGACTTACCTTAAAGATTTGTTTTAAGCAACTAATAAGATTCTTTCTATAGGTAGAGAGCTAAAGTATCCTGGATGGCCAATGATACCTCCTCTGCTGTTTGCTATCACCAGCAGTAAGAAGCACATGCAAAACTGGTAATTATGGACTTCAGAATGAAATATCATCTTTCATCTATCTAATGTTATATCACCAACGCAGATGAAAAAATACACAACTTGGGATTTTCTTTATACCTTTCATAATGCAGAATGGTAATGATTAGTAAAAATGTCCATTCAATATAGGTTAGTGAAAACCACAGCTTTCTAACCCCCTAACTTGGGTATTGCAAATATCTGGGACAAGGCTCTGGTTGTTACATGATGCTCTGCATGCTCTGGCTTGCCTTTCAACAATCATTCCTATTAAATCCTTTGTGTCTGACACATCTAATGAAGTCATGTTCACGATCAGCTTAATCACAGGATGGAGTATAGTACATATTTTGACAGGAAAGCTGTTAGTATAAACTGAAACATGTAGCAAATATATAATTGCATAAAATGTTCATTATTCTTTCAATCTAACAATCTTCGGCTTGAATCCTTTTATGCATATTTAGTCTTTTTAAGATAGATTGTTTTGGGTACTGTTCTAACAAAAAAGATTAGTTTTAAGCAAAATCCATGCCAAACAATTGGTGTAGTGAGCAATTGTAAACACAGCAGACTCTGAGCCATATATTTTATCTGGAAATCTTTAAATTCTGGAGAAATTACACATCTCTAGATAAATGATATACATCATTGAAAATGATTCTAGTTTTATGCCATGAAAATATACAAGAACCAAACTAAGTTTAGAGAAGTCACCTATAAATAATATTTTCCTAGAGTGCTGGTAATGAACTCCAGTTTGGGCTTCTAGCTAATTGTTTAATTATTCAATGACTGACTGAGTACATTTTTATATCAAAGTCTTTTTAAAGTGAGGTTATAACCATTTGCCTTTGCAGTTATAAATGATTTCCAAGACCTGTGTTGTTAGAGCTCAGCACTAATTAAAAAAGAGACTTACATCACTCTCATGCCCTTCTCGAAGGTTGTATGTGAGGTCATGCTGAATGTCTTCCACGAATTTGTGAGCGTATTCTGGGTAAAGGTCTAGCACTTCAAAGAGGCCTTTGAGGATGATACACTGAAGATCACAGTAGGTTAAAGCCTTCACATCTGCATTAGTTTTTATCACTTGGTCCTTAATTGATAGATTTGCTCCAATTAAGTCTCCTTTCCCTACAAATGGGAGGGGGGGGAGGAGGGGAAGGGAGGGAGGGAGGGAGGGAAAGAAATATCATTGTCAAGAAAAGCAAGCAAACTTGAGCTTAGGAATGAGAACTTCATTTGATTTACAGGCTTCATATATCTCAGATCACACTGAAGAAAGGAGAAGACTACTTCAGGCAGGGGTGAGATTGAGGCTCACCCTGAACTCTCATTTTGACAACCCAAAGTATTTTCAAATGTTGTACAATGGACTCTGGTGGGCAAAACTGTTTCTGGTATTGGACACTGGTCTAGGGATAATGGCTGAAGGATGGAGAGTTCAGAATTGCAGGTCATCGATGGTACCTGCAATTTAGTTTCTTGTAGAAGAGGTCTCTTGCAGGATTTGTCAAATGGCTTTAGACAAATCAGTTCACACACACACACACACACACACACACACACACACGCACCTATATCTTTTTCTTTTTCTTTCCTTCTTTTTTGTCACAGTCCACAGCCCCTCTAATGTTTCCAGGGAAATAATAATGGCTCAGATTTTTCTAAGTGGGAAAATGGCTCTGTGCTTCTAAGGTAAGACTATCAAGAGGTATGTGAATTATTTTGATTCTAGTACTTTGGACAATAATGGAAGCATGATCTTCAGCTTTTGAACATATTCAAGTTCTTTTAATCACTTCTGGTTATTTCTACAACACCAGAGGGTGATGTGGGAGAAAGAACTCTGCACCGGTTTTCTCACAATTGGGAAGAAGAAATAACTATTGAACATTATGAATGATAAATCTGTTACATAAAATATACAAAATAAAGCATACAATTCTAATATTTTTGACAGTATAAAAGCCTCATTTTCTTTATCAAAATATAAAGTGAATAAATAAAAACAAGTGACCTGTGCCCCACCCCACACCCAGCAGTACCTCTCTGCCTACCAGTGTCTAATAAGATCCCACTTTCTGATTCTTAGATGATGCCTTCTCATGTATCTTCACATGGCAGAAGGGCAAGGCAGCTCTTTGGGGCCTTTTTAATTAGGACACTAATTGCATTCATGAAGTCTCTGTCCTTGTGATCTAAACAACACTCAAAGGCCCTGCCTCCTAGAACCATAATATTAATGATGGCATCTTGACATGAATTTTAGGAGGACTCCTAACATTCAGACTATAACACCAACCCAATAAGCTTGCAAAATTTAAATTGGGTAATGGACATGAAAAAATCCAGCTTATATTAGAGATTCAATAAATATTAGTTATCTTCTCTCTCCCAAATTGCAATTGTCTTGAAGTTTACTAGCTAGAATCCAGTGATAGCAGGTCTACAATTACATAGACTAGTAAGTATTGTTTACACAAAGAGGAAGCAGTGGTCATAGAGTCAAGATGCAGGTTAGCTTTGGTCTTAGAAAGATAGAGAAAAGGCCTCTGTGATCTTCCTCTCAGTGCTGTGGAGGCTTATGTGAGATCCCATGTGTGAAAATATTTTGCAAGTGATTGTTTGTAAATATTAGGCTGTTGGAAAACTAGAATAAACAGAAAGTACTGCATTAGTCCCTTTTTAGTAATGCAAATTCTAAGCCTTGGTTTATTATATTGGTGTTTAAAATATATTCTGAATTCACCTGCCACTCACCATCCCTGCTACCACCTCGGTCTATTCTATCATGTCCTTTGCTTGAGTTTAGTTTCTACAAGGGCAAGGATTTTGGCCATTTTCTTTTCTGCTATATTATCAGGGTTCAGAACAGTGTCTGATTCACTTATAGGCCCACGATAAGTAGAATAACTGAACAAACAAAGGAGAGTAGATTTTAAAGGAAGTTTGCATAAAATTGTGAAAGAAAATTTTCTACATTAACCCTACGTGCCACCCCCTTTTCAGCAGCCCTTTATATTTCAACAAAGACTAATTATGTCTTAATATTTGCAGTCAACTTCATGGGCACAAAATTTTCACAATTATCTTCTGAGTTTTAGTTTTATCTCTTTAGTTCTTTTTTAGTTCTGTGAGGAACTAAAAAGAGCCTATAGTCACCTTGACAGTATTAGGTTAATGACTGCAATGAGAGTTTATTCTTGAAGTGTAATCCCTTTTTGCTTTATTTCTAGCACAGATAAAACTTAATTTTTGTGCTCTCTGAATTGCTTCTCCACAAAAATATGGAAATGCCCTTTTAAAACTGAGCAGCTATTTTAGCTGGAGAGCATGTAACTCATGATCAATAATTTCTTTAGGAAGGGCTGTGGCTGTGGCTCAGTGACAGCACACTTGCCTGGCATGTGTGAGGCACTGGGTTCAATTCTCAGCACCGCATATAAATAAAAAAAGGTCTATTAAATATATATATATATATATATATATATATATATATATATATATATATATATTTTCTATAGAAATCAGAAAGCACTGAATTTATTTTATTACTATATGATTTGGACAAGTTAACTAAGTTGTATTTATTTATCCATAAAATGAGGTTAATATTTTTACTACTGGAGTGTTTTATAAGAATTAACCAGTGTATATAATACTTAGCTAAATTAAACCCATATGAAGAATAATTCTGAGTCCATATATTCACCTGTGTTTTTTCTACTCTCACTAGCAGACTTTCCCCAGTTTCATCTTCTTAATTCATGCTGCAGAGTAAAACTGCAGATTTTCAGCTCAGACCTACCAAGAATAGCCAGCACCATGCTGTCTTTAAGAACCTCCATGGAGCCCGAGCACACAAAGTAGATGGCCTGCAATGCATCCCCTTGGCGCAGCAGATACTCCCCCGGAGCACAGAAGGAGGTCTTGATGTGTAGAGACAGAGACCTGAGGCAGCCCCGGCTGGCACATTCAAACAGGGACAGCTGCAAGATTTCCTTGTTCAAGTGCATAGTGATGTCAGAACGCAGCTCATCTGGAAAGTCTTTCAGAAGCTGTCAGAGAAGATGGAGGAGGAAATCAATTTGGCTAAGTGAAGTCTGACTGATGTACCTTAAGATACAAGAGAGATGTTCTTCTTACTGATTGGCTAGCCAGAGTACAGAAGAGGAAATCTATGCATGTATGATCCTGGAGAGATTTTTCAGTGGCCATGACCCTTCACGGTTGGCTACTGAATAATGAGTGCATAATAAGTCTGGAGAAATAGCACAAATTAATAAAAGACCCCGTTTAGGGAAACATATAACTAACATGTAAATCGTTGTGACTTGTTTCTCCCAGAGATTCCTATTCATGGCAGAAAAAATGGAATTTGGATCTGTGGGTGTTTTCTCTGGTGTCATAATCACATCAAGAAAGGAGAAACCAAAGTATTACTCCTTAATGTGTTGGTTTGGTTGGTGGGTTGGTGAAATGGTTGCCTGTTTTATAATACCTTTTTCCCCAGTGGTAGTCTATGTTATTTCTGGAAGTCTACAGATAACAGCTATGTTGGATTTTGTTATTTTTTTTTATTCTAACAGTTGCTTTAGCTTGACTAATCTAATAGCCCAACATTACACCATTATGCTCTCATAAGAATTGGTTCCTTTAAAAAAGGAAAAATAAATCATTTGATCAACCAAAATGGCTTATTAATATAAAATACAGATCAGTCCAGAGTGGCACTGCGAATTTGTAAACCAAAGCAGATAGAAGAAGTGGATTGAGTTTCACGAGTGATGAACAAAATAAAGAGATAAAGAAGTTGCTAGGTGTGTTTGTCACTTCTGCTACGTACATTACAGCATCTTGCTTTTTTACCTTAGAATATGTGTTTTCTGCCTCAAAATGTCAACATGAGAGGTGAACATTACCTCATTTGAATCTATTCCGTTGTTGACTGACCAGGTGGTTTGAAAATACTCGAGCATTCTCTGCTTGAGCTGTTGGGGCAGGTGGTGAACGCGGATGAAGTCCTTCAGGTCCTTAGTTCTGGTGTGATAGAGAGACCATCGGGAATACATCCTCTGTATGATTGCTGTCACATTCCCAAACACCAAGGCGTGCATCAAGGCTGGAGAACAACATGGCATGTGAGGAGTGAGAAATGAGATAGAGGGCCCATCCTTGAAGCATAAATTTACAGTCTATGTATCTGGGATCAAAGTGAAGCATGCTTATGTGGCCATGTTGACACAACTATTTTGGTTCAGGCATTTTGGTGCAACCACTTTATCACAGAGTGCATCCTGAAGTGGCCATGATTTGATTAGAGTAAAAAAGTAAGAATATACAGCAATATACAAAATAGGCTCCTTTGACATACTCAATCTGTTAGCTGCCATTTTGGCTATGACAAATTTTTATTTTGAACTCTATTCACAGCAATATTATTTTAATAGTTATATATAGAGTTTTATGTAGTTTAGTACTTATAACAAATTAGCTTTAATAGTTTGATGCAATGTTATAAACTTATAGTTTAACAATTATTTTTAATACATAACATACATTTAAAAATCAATCTTTTTTTTAACCAACAAGACTTTGTGGAAATTTTAGTCTCACCTCCCAGAGGTCCATCATTTAAAAAATTAGTTTTAGAATATCATACATTTATATTTCTGCAAAGACTGAGGAAGCTATTAGAAACGTGAATGGGGATTTCTCGAATAGTCTGAAGCTTAGTGTGGCTCCAGTCCTCAACCACTCCTCAGTTTTGCATTGACTTTGATTTTAAGTGAAATAGCAGAAAAATTTCAGACAATTCAAGACACAAATTTTATGGGTGGTGATGCAGAAGAAACAGCACAATACATAGTTGCAGGAGTCCTGTTCCCGCAAGGTTTGCCAGTCAGATACTATTTAACTCTACTTTCTCAAAACTACCACCAGAGTGAAATGAGAGGGAGGTCTTTGTTGTCCAGAGTTCAAGGGAGGATGGGGGCAGAATAGGAATTTCTTTTGGAGAAAGGTGGAATGAGAGGATGGACATCATTTTCCAGGAATTGCCTATTTGGGGAATAATGGGGAACGTGAAGCCCAGAAGAGAAGACAGGACTTTGCACTCGACAGTCATTAGCAGAATGGAACATGAATGACCTGTGCAATGCCAGCAGATAACCCAAGCAGGCTTGGATTTACCTAGGCCTCTGAAACTAAAGGAATGTGGAGAGCCAGGTGTAGCTATATTTATGGGCACATCATTCTAAGTGATACTCAGATTTTAGCCTTGGAAAAGAATTAATAGCTAATCATCTATTTCAGCAGTTTTTGGTTAAAAAAAGAAAGGACTGAAATTCTAAAGTTTTATCCATTAGGATCTATCAAAATATCCCAGTGTATAAATATCAATGTCCAAGGAGCTATGTTAAAATTTTCTCAGTACCAAAGTAAATATATTAGTGCAAATGTGTCAATATGTTATTACATTGATCCTCCTGAATATTTCAATGCATCCCGGTTCAAGTTCTTTTTTCCTCTCTATATACCAGAAATTAACAATCACTAACATACTAATTTCATTTTAATCTAACACTGGAATTAAAGTCCTTCACCAAGTTAAAATTCTCCAGGTATATTATAGTTTCTTTGTGGAATATTTGTCACCATGTCTAGAAAATTAATCTTTAATAACAAGAACTCAGTATTTGGGAAAAGTTACTAAAATATTGTTAAGTTTTGGGTCTATACACAGGAGACAACATATTCTGGCAAAGTGAATATGGACTTCGGAATCAGACGGGCCTAGATTTGAATTCTGACTTTCCCTCTTCCTGTGTAAAATCGTTAAGTTTCATAATTTCTTTACATGGACTTATTTCCTTTAATATGTTAAATGGGTACATGTTTCTCATATGGCTCTTTTAAGATATAAAGAGTACACAAACATGTGTGTATGTATGTATACTCTTTAAATATGTGTGTATATACATATAGACACACAGTACGTGTGTGGAAAACAATGGTTGTTCAATTTATATTGATTTTTCCTCCTGAAAGTCTGAAAAGGTATCATGAATTTTCAGCATGCTCAATGGAATAAGATTCGGGGAAATGTACTTGGGTTTAAGATTTTCCTTAAATGTCTTACATAGTTAAGAGTGGCTCTTGGTGGAAATCTCTTCTTGATGAAAGGAATTCAAGAAATATTTGGCAGCTGTCTGCTACATGCAAATTCATGTAAGAATGTATTTTCCCTAAATGTTTAAAATTGAAATGTCTCCCAATGGGTCAAAAACATTCCAAGGAAAATGTGTATCTCTTAACAACTTAAGTCTGCATGGTTCTTTGTGGATTCTAAATAGAGTTTCATTCTTCTGTATGGTTTTACAGGCACAACAGTTCCGATGCTTAAATATTTTATTTGGAAGAGAAGATCTCTATTTATGATAAACCCTCACTAAAGAAAAGAACTGACTCTGCTCAAGACAAAGAAATTAAATACCGATTGCAGGCTCTGTTAAAATGCTTATGGGCTAAGTGTTTGGAAACCCTACCATTTTTAAGAGTATGTAATAGTCTTTTCATGGAGATTAAACTGAGTTCAGAGAACAATTTTATTTCATTTATTTTAACACTGGTTTCCTTAATTATGTGTATGATTTTAACTTTGCTTTGCTTAATTATAATGTGTAAAGCACTAACAGTAAGAGAAGTAATATGTTCAGATCATTTAGCATCCTAATTGTACATTATCAATAAAATGAATTACTGGATTAATTGTAGCATTCATAAACGTGGTTGGAAAGTACTCGTCTATGTCTGACTCACCATAATTTCAAAGTCTCATTTCAGCATAGGAAACTACTGCTGATTTAAGGAGTTTTAAAAAAAAAGGAAGAAAGGAACCTTGGCTCTCATAATTTTTCATTTTCTGAAGCTATTATGGCCTTTCTGTCACTGATTTTCATGGCACCCTAGCAAAGAGTATGTGTAGCTGTCGAGACAAATTATTCCATCTGCTATGAAAGTTTGACTCAAGAACTTCTATATCCAGGTCAGTTTGGAAATGATCCCTCTTCTCCATTCCTAGCAAATTTGATGTATATAATTCTTGAGTGCTAGACCTGCTGAGAGTGTGTGGGAGGCTCTTTGTGGGGTGTGTGTGTGTGTGTGTGTGTGTGTGCGCGCGCGCGCGGTCATGTGTGTAGGAGTTTTGCATAAAATGCATTCTGTAAAATCTCATCTCAGAATCAGGTCTTTGAAAGGAACTTAATTGAGATCTAGGAAGAAACTAAGCAGATTTCAAATACAAAGAAGCACCTCCACAGGACAGCTTGGCTTTCACTTTCTCGTTCCTCTTTCATTTCCCTTCCCCGTTTCCTTCCCTGGAGTTTGGGCAATGCTGCTCTCTGAGGTATAACATCCTTGCTGATTCCTTTAGCCAACTGTTTGTCAGTGGCTTTGAAGTCTACATATGGGCTGTTTTCTCCGGAGACCGGAACTCAGAATTTGGTAAAACTTAACAGTCTTCCTCCTTTGTCCCATTTCCTCCTTGCCTTGGAATTTTCCATTCTTTGTTACAAGTATATGGGTTGTGGATAGCAGATGGCAGAGGAAACAAAGTGAGAAAGATTTCCTCGATGATGAATTTAAATGGCAGTGTAAGACATTTTAAGAATGGCCTGAATTTATGAACATAATAGCTCATATGGGCCCCAATAAAATTATGTCAAGATAGTATGAATAAGGTGGGTAGGTTCAAAAGAAGCCTTGACTGCTTCATGACAATAATGTTCATTTATTTGTATTTATATTTACTTACATATTTGTATTTTTTTCAGTACAGGGGATCAAACTCAAAGCCTCAGGCATGCTAGGCAAGCATTCCACCATTGAGCTACATACCCGGACAATAATGTCCATCTAAATTTAACATGCAGTGCGGAGAACTGAATTAAGGCCAATTATATGCCATGCTTATACATTTAGGTCAAAATGAACCCAACATTATGTATAACTAAAATGAATAATAGAGAAAAGAAAAATGAACAAAAAGTACATATTATCAGTTGTGAGCCATCTGGACTAGAAAGCTTTATCAAAACTCCAAGGAAGAGTTGACGGTTCCATCAATTGGGACCAACTCATGAGATGACTATAGGCTGTCACTATTAAGTATGACAAAGAAACTTTTAGAGACATGGAAAAATATTCTCAATAGATTTTTGTTTGGCTTCAAAAAGGATATGTGTAGATATACAAAAATATTTTAGAAAAATAGGACTATATATGTATAAGAAGACTAGGAAGGTATCTTTTGGTGATGGGATTATGAAAGATTAATAATCTTCTGTCTTCAGTAGTCTTCTCAAAGTGCATTGTATAGGAAAAATTGAAAAGAAGAAAAAGAATGTTATCTGCTTAAATTCCTATTTCCACTTCTGATTGGGAACTCCCTGAAGGAAAGTATACTGTGTTAGTCATTTTGTGTCCCAAGCATCTAATACAGTCAGCGTAATTTAAGTGGACCATAAATATTTACGAAACTACAATAAACCTTTTGTAGCTTGATGCTATCTTTAAAAATTTTTGTCATCGTAAGCAAGTGGCTTAGAAAATTTATATTGAACAGTTTAGCTTCGCATCCATCTCTCCACCCTCTTCCTACTTCTTAAAGGAAATTTCTTTTTAAATGATTTCTCCTAGGTCCACTTGTGGTTATAGCTACATTTTAGGTAATATAATTTTACTTCTGTTGCTTGACTCATCCTTGTTAAGTTGATTCTAAAAACAACCTGATACGGAAGAAAAGAACTAAGCTCACGATTACTTAGCATCTCATCCCTCACTTAATGGTTGTATTATTTTTAGCTCATCTATTATAATTTTATAAGGTAAAACTAGTATCAAAGATACATGTAGAGAATGCTACACAAATACTTAATGTATACCACACTGAGATTTCTCAAAGTGAACATAGGTACAGAATCACCCCCTGGATGAGTAACCAGGTTATTAACAGCATCCTGAGGCCTTCCTTATGTCCCTTCATAGCCACTAACCACTCTCCTCACCAAAGGTAACTAGAGTTATGAATCATATTACAATCAATAATTTGAATTTTCCATC